CTGCACTGTTAACTCACGCAGTGAGAGAAACTCACAAGCCTGGCTCTGAGCTCCGATGAATACCGTATATGGAAGAATCCTGCAGGTAGCCTCTGTCCACTTTCACCCTTTTCTGACCTCCAGCACTAAGCCTCTCCTTTGAACAAAGTTTACCTCCTAATATTTCTTCATTTTAAAACATTTCCCCCTCCTCCATACTAAGATCAGTCACTCCTGTTCTCCCTAACATCACACTTGTGGGCGTATGAAATCAGGGCAATGTTGTCTATTTGACTCCACACCAGTTTCTTCCAGGTACTTGTTACGTCATATTTCAACACAGTTCATTCATTGTAAGGGGTGTGGCTGTAATGCATGCGTCAGTAAAGTGAAGAGAAACCTGAAAAACACATAAAGTGGTCGAATCAAAGTTTCAGGATTCTTTGACAATGTAAGGGTGAAACTTGGGCAACAATTTGCATACATGTTATCTGAAATCAAATAATGGAAGTAAATGTGTAAACGCCAGCTAAATAAATTAGATATGTTGTAACAGTTTGAAAGTAACTAATGTCTCAACATCATCTAAATTAACAATTTTCTGATTATCCTCCCTAAGTTACTCAAAAAAGGAGTTAGTTTCTATGTAGGTGTTTATATACATAAGCACTAAGTACAAAAAGTATATTTTCCACTGTGGATCTATAAATAAATTTAGAAAAGAATAAAATAAATGAGTAAATATTCCTTATTTATGAAAAATCCTAAATCCTATTGAGCTAATATATTGTCAAATGATAAAATTGTTTCATTCAATAAAAAACATTCATTGTATAGGTTTTTTAATATATTGTGATATATTTGAAACATTTGTTGCTTTTAACCTGTTATGATAAAAGCTTCCAGTTCATTAAAACCTCAAATTCCGTATGTCAGACAATTACAGCATTAAAACAAAATGGGAGGATAAATAACGGTTATTGGTAAAGAGGCTTGATCTTTAAAATATGCTGTATCCAAGAAGATCATTAGAAAATTTTATAAAAAAGAAAGTCGCAACTACAAAAAACATGGATAACTACAGCTTTGAGTTTGCAATCATTAGTGTACAAACAAGGGCTGTGGAGGTTATGGATCCATAACAATAAATATAACAATAAATATTTGAAGAAGGAAATGTTTAATCCAATTCAAAAAGAAAACCCAACTAGGTAGCCTTTAACATTTCCTCTGACAAATACTGCTAAGATGTGCAAAACCTTTTTAAGGTTTTGCACATCTTAGCATATAGAAAGCAAGCTTGATTTTAGAAGTGATATTACTAAATTATCTAAAGCAAAGATGCAAACATAAAGACTTTTCCATATTACGCATATTATCCCCCACTAATCATATGACTGTTTTCTTTTCATTTAGTTGATATATTGTTAAAAAACAACCAATAAACATTTCAGCTTTCCTGTTTTCTGCTGCAAATTGCCCCTGATAAACAGGATTGACTAAATGAAATCAACATCTCCATCTAACTTTAATCAAATCATTCGAATTTGCACAAAAAATGTGTAAATACCTTAATTAAAACTTTCTTAAACATTACTAACATTAACGGTTATATATTTTTATTTAGTAAAATGAAAATATATTTAAAAGCTATCTTTTAATTTACTCCAAAACGTCTTCCATGGCCTTTTGATAAAGTATTTTTGTTGTTGTTGTTGTTGTTTTTTTTGTTAACCAGTTGTTGCTCAAGTTCTAGATAGTAAATGAACATTGTAAGCAAAGCACCACACCGCCAGCCTTGAACGGGTGTTGTTTGTGCATACCTGTGGCTTTGGGAGGAGATAGCTTTTCTTCCTGTCTGACATAAGGGAGAGAATGATGGAACACAGCTATATCTGGAGTATTACTCTGCACTGATTTTGATTGTATTATTTAGTTCAATTAGAAATAGAAGAACTTAAGTAATTGTTTACTTTGTGTAGGCGGTAAAGCAATAATTGTTTATTTAAAAACCTGATAACTCTAAAAGGATAATACCACCCTTCACACCAAGATAGCAAAATGTGTTAAGATGCATTACAGGCACTTTCAAAGCCATTGTCCTTGTCATTATTTATGCAGTAAGTGGAAAGAAAAGTTTACATCCAGATGTTCTTGAAATACTGAGATGCTTGCTTTGTTTTCTGAAGATGTATTTATTAAGGAAAGTAGCTATTCAAAGCCCTTTATTATATTAGCTATGGTAAATGGCTTATACTTAGTATAGATAGTACATTTTTAATTCCGGTGACCCCAAAGAGCTTTACTTTTACTTTTTACGGTAAAGAGCTACCCACTTGCAGAAGAAAGGCTTTCACACATTAAAGGTTAAGTGTAAAGGACATAACGAAGAGTTTGGACTAACACCCCTCTTTGTTCAGGAAAAAAAACATGTATCCTACACCACTGCAGGATCCAGCAACAGATGTCAATCAAAATAATCCAAAAGGTAAATAGATCAATGTAAAAAGCTATGTAAACCTAACGTTAACAGACTTGGCAAAAATGGTATCCTTGAGAGGTCAAAGTTAACACCACTACTAACATATCAAACATCTTGATGATTCCAAAAAACGAGACCAAATGATTACTTTTGGAAGGTGTTGATCCTGTCACCTTAGACATAAACCTAAGGCTTTTTGAAAAAGAACATAATTTAAATATTGTGGTTGGGCAATCACTTGCAGTAATTGATAGAAACAAAAACTGTTTTCTAGCAGAAAATCATGAGGAAATTATTCTGTTAACACTTTGCAGCCTTGTTAACCAATGTCAAATTCCTTGGATTAGCACAATAATCACAAAGCACATTCTGATTCAATACTCCTGCAATTTAACTGAAGTAAACCAATTCTGCAAAGCAGAATGGGTAAAATTCACCTATAGAAATGTGTAGGACTTTCCAATTTTACAAATGCTTTTAAAACTAGTTCTCCAACGTTCTTTTCATAATAAACAAAACCTTAAGTAAAATATAAACCTTGTATTCCCTCAAGTTTTATATATGATCTGTGCTTCTGTCTCCTTGGGCCACAGTCTGCCTCGGCAGATGGCCGCTCACACTGAGCCTGGTTCTGCTGGAGGTTTCTTCCTGTTAAAAGGGAGTTTTTCCTCTCCACTTTCACTACAAGCATACTTAGTGTGAGAGATTGCATTTGAATCAATGAGTCGATGCAATCATCTGGTTTTCCTTAGATAGAACTCTTTGAATCAATTGACTGTATGATCTGGTGAACTGTAAAGTGCCTTGAGATGACATGTGTTGTGAATTGGCCCTATAGAAATAAACTGAATTGAACATTTTACAATGTGACCGAGTCTTAAATTAGACAGAGGTCAAATCAGCATCTTTAATCAATGGAAAGAGAGGGAAAAGAACCCAGTAAGGAAGCAATATAATGTCCCAGACTGGAGACAGCTGCACATCCCACCAGGTTTTGACATTAATGTCCTATCTAGTCAGTCTTAAAAACATTTATGTTTCAGTAATTATAGATGTTAGAGGTTAACAGTTGTTTTGCTTCACTGAAAGTGTTTTCAAATCAACTATAACTATTATCACCTACGGTATAATCAATCAGAAATGTCCAAGAATACAAATAATTTCCAACAGATGACTCTTTTATCTTATACTTTTTAAAGCTTCATATTAGCTTGTGCTTCCTTCTTAGGGCCGGATCTATCAAAGGTTTGCGTGTATAAAAACGTGAGCTATTTCACTGCGCACGCTAAAAAATGTACAAACTGATCTATCAACAGCGTGCTAAAAAGGTTTGGTCTTTAAAACGTGCTAAATAGCGCCTCTTATACATTTAGTACTTTTTCTGCAATGAATATGCAATATGGGGCGTTTACACGCAAAAGTGCGTCTTGTGGGAGGAGAACATGTAAATATATTAATTTAGCACTCGCAAAGTGATTTATTAAACCTGAAAGCAATTTTGCTAACGGTATCTGACTATATTTAACACGTTTTAAAAGAAGTTCAAATGGTCTGTATGCGTAATTGCGCACACATGGCAGCGGTTACTGTCGCAAGAAGGAGACATTGAAATGAAGCAAGGAGACACAGAGAACGCATTTTTTCACTCTGTGTGAATATTTTTGGAATGAAGGAGGAAACGATCATCAAAACATAGTTTATCCAGCATTGCCATTTTGGAGCTGTTGGGGGAACTCCGAATGGATTTGGAGCCAGCCACAAGGAGGACCCACGCAATACCAGATATCACAAAACTCCTTGCTATATTGCAGTTTTTTGCATCTGGGTCATTCCAGCGTACGGTTGCAGCGCGAGCTGGGATCTCCCAATCTCATTTTTCAGAAGTGCTGTCCGACGTTCTAAATGCCATGTCGCCCTGACGCCCTACTGGAGAACCCCGACACCCTGCGCCTGTGGAGCAACATGCCAATGCTGCGGGGATGCGTATGCGCAGTAATCTCATCCACAGTCACTTCTTGTGAGCCATTTCGTATGTGCATTTTTCTACAGGCCAATACAAAACACCTGTTTTTTTTTTTTTACTGCAGTGAAGTAGAAATTCAGCCACATACCACCTTAGGGAATAAAGGTTGCCAAAGTTTATATATATATAAATTTATTAATTTTTTTTGGAGGGGGTGTCACTGTAAGATTTAAATTTCTTAATGCACTAGTTTGTACAAACTACTTTGCCGCAAACCACAAAACGCGCAAAACCATCATTTAAATAGGGCGTCTCCAACAGTTTTGCACCTGCCACCAGTTACTCATCACTCTTGTTAAATCACCCGCAAACCATGGTTCAGCCCCTCGCGCAAAATTCCAGTTTGCGAGCGCAAATTACTGCACGCAAAATTGGATCTTGATAAATCCGGCCCTTATTCTCTAATTGTAGTTTTTTCCCCATTTGCATACTGAGGTGAACCTTTAACAGATTTGCTATTAGGTTGTTGAAGTTTTTATTTTGTCCTAAGAAAAACTGAAAAAAAACATTAATACATTAGTTCTTTCAACATTTATGTGTAAAACATTTCATTTTAATATAAAAATGATGTAACATTTTTTCTTGTTCTTTATCGTCATCAAGCAGTCCAGCTCTTTCCCATGTCTACCAGCTCCATGCCTTCGCAGTAGGACCTGGGTCGTGTCACCCTGACCTGTAAATAGAGAACAAAACATATCATAAAATCAGATCTACCAAACTGTCTAGAAGTTGTCATCCACAGTCAAACACTCACTGTAGGGGTCCTGTGGGATGCCAGCTGCTGAAGAAGTGGGAACGGCGTCCAGTGAATGGGTTCCACAGGCCAGCTACACACAGAGAGGTCACTGGCCTTCCCCGAGTCCAAAACACCATCCCCCATACTCATCCCACTGCCCCTCCAGCCATACTGGGAGCTGCAGATACAGAGTCAATGGATTATTTACAAAGACCAAATGATGGAGAACTGAGCAGTGTAATCTGAGGTCAAAGTACAAGAGAGTGGAAAGATCACAATTGCAGTTTAATAAGTGGGTCTAAGGCATGTTGACAGATTGAACAGATTATTTGTTCAACAACCTCTGTGCTCAGTGGCTGTTCTTTTTGCTCTGATGATAGTTAGGTATTCATTTGTCAAAACTGTCTAAACAATATTTCCATCACATTTAATGATACCGCTAATTTAGAATAAACACATGCAAAAATAATAGCTGCAAACTCATTGTCACCTAGCGACAAAGACCTTGATAAGCCATCGATTCTTTCACGTCTTATGAGAGCGAGCTGAATTGTTTAGATACTGCAAATAAAAGCTTAACAAAGAGCAACACGAGTCCACACTATAGAGGATTTCATTTTCTTGTTGTCGTACAAGTCAAAAGTAAATGTAAATGCTCCGGCATGGTTAAAATGTAGTTTTCTCTATGAAGTTTGAACCATGCTGCTTGCTCTGGTTTGTAAACGCAGACCTGTTCATTCTCCAAAATCCAACCATTAGCCATGCGGTCAACCTATGCACAGGTCAGCGTTTTTCACAGAGCACTGACCCTAAGAACATCAAACTTGTTGTGAACTTCATAACATGTTTGTGCGGCAATAAAACTTGCAACTAGATGTGTGCAACTAGACTTTAAAACTACCACATAACTTAAAAGAAACATTAAAATTTGTTTAAATAAACTATGTTACTCCATCATATACACTTGCTTGTTTGGTTGATTTAACTATTCAGTTAACTATTGCCATAGACTATGAAGCAATTTTAAAATTGCATAGTAACCACAGCATCCTTTTTTTTTAAATGTTGTTATATACATTGCATGTTAGCCTGTTGAAACAAAGTTTTTTATAATAATCGCACATTTAACATTAGAAATATTACAAGAGGTGTAAAGTCTGTTTTGCAAAAGTTAGAGGAGCCCAAAACAAAAAAGTTACAGTATTTAGATCCATTAGGTACATGCTTGTTAGCATTTAGCCCTTTTGCAACATTTGTATAGTCTTCATTGTCAGCAGCCCTCTTTATGTCACTTGACAGATTTCTTTTGCCACATTTAGTCTTTCTTTCTCTTAATCTGTGTGTACCCACTGTTTCTATTTGATCTGATGCTGAAAACATAAACCTCTCTTCATTTTATTCTTTCAGGATATCTCTTGGTTTTGGGTGAACAAACCGGTATTAGGAACAGTTTCAGATTTCATCTTTTGGTAAAGATACAGAGAGTAGAGGACATTTTTATCACATGTGGAACAGAGCCAGTCATTGGTGTGTGAGGGATTGCTAAAGAGTCAATGACAAAATGCAAGCGAAAGTCGAGGAGCAAGTCTTGCAAGTCAATGACTGGATGCAATCAACTGGTTTTCCGTAACTGAAATTTTGAACCAATCAGCCTATCGTCTCTCTTAAGTGCCTTGAGATGATGTGCTGTGAATCGATGCCATATAAATAAAATTAATTGAATTGATGTGAATCCCTACAACTAATTCAGTTTTTCTGTCAGGCTCTTTACAGCCTTCCTGATCAATTTCTGTCCGCCTTATCCGTTGGAGAGGACCACTCAGTTCGTATTAATGTCATTATCATTCCACATTATTTCCACTTTTTGACGACTCATCGTGTATCAATCTATAGTAAATGTATACACATCAGTGCAGAGTAATAATCCAGATAGAGCTGTGTTCCCTCATTCACTCCCTTATAACGGACAGAAAAAAGCTACCTGCTCCCAAAGCCACAAGTATACACATGTATGCAGCAAGGGTGTTGTTTTTTTTATTTATCATGCTTAACATGTTTGTTTTTCACAGTGGAATTTACAAATTATATCACATCAAATTAGGAACACATTGAGGAATTTATTGTATTAATTTTTTTTCTAACTTAAAAAAACTTGATATTTTTCATTAGGTGTGAACAGGTCATGTCTATACTGGATGTTTTGTGCATTTACCTGTGGGGATAAATTGTGTTGATACGCGTTCCATGACTGGGGCAGGTGGAAGGCAGGGACAGCGTGTCGTCATGGTAACAGCAAGGCCGGTCAAGCGCCCGCAGATGCAGGAGCTCATCAGAGCGCATAAAGGCAGGATTGTCCAGAGAGTCTGCAGATCCTGCCCAAGAACGTAGCCAGAAGCGACCCGACAGCTCATCAAAATGGTTGAACTTACGATAGCTGCCAAAACAAACCATCATAGGTCATAGACTGTACAAGATACAGTGGAAATGTTACAACAATGGCTGTATGAGCATTTCCATTTTTTTCCGGTTGTATTCTATATAAACTTTTAGTGTTTATAGTGTGAAAGGGTTAATTTTAACATTTGTACTATTAAATTGAGAAAAATAATAGCATTTAAATTTCGTCCTAAATTTCTGGAAATTGAATAAAATAAAGATTTTCCTACTTTACCATTTTGTTCTGTGCGTAAAGACTAAGAATATCCATGATACTGTCTCTATTCACCTGATAAGGACTGTTGATTTCACTAAAACAGAATTTTGATTTTGGAAAGTACCTATCTGCATTATTATAATTATCAATGATAGATCTTTGGTGTGATGAAATACTTAAACTAATAAGATCAATGCATCCGAGTGATATCAAGGGTTTTTAAACTATGTATCTCAGTGGTTTCCAAACATTTCAACCTCTCCTCTTACTGACCCAGACTAGGATTGACACAATTAAAATAATAAAAAAGATATTCTGCTCCAACAAATACATTTTTTTATTATCCATCAGTTGAAATTGATGGTTTAAACAACTATTTAGAGACATTACTTGTGGTTTTCAGTTATTCAAGGACTCTAGTTCCAAACCACTGGTCTGCAGTTATAAAATATTTTTTTAAAAGTTGGTTTTGTTCCTTTATAATCAGCATGAACAGGCAAACTACTTTATCAGATTTGGAGAGGAGTAATCTGGATTGACTCCGACTTTAGAGCTTTGAGAATTAAGTTCCAAGATGAAATCTAGCAAATCTCAATAGTAGAAATTTGCTACCCCCACCTTTTTTCTAAGCGGTTGGTCTAATCTTAGCATGCTGGGAGCAGCCTTAAGCTTTTCCTTAAATTATATCTGGAGACTAATTCTAAGTAAGTTTACACTGCTGATTACACTGTTGGCTTACGAAGCCAACAGGTGTAAATGTTCAGTTTTGCTTAAGAAAAAAAGAAAATAAACAAATAAAAAAAAGAAATATCATATAAAAACATGCAGATATGCCAGAAATGAGCAATTATCCTAACTTGATGAACCTTTAAAACCTATTCTATAATCTAGAAGTTAATTTATTTCATACATAGGTGTACAAACTGAACTAAAGATGACACTAATTATACTCCACATATTTAAGGAGCTAATAATAAAATACATCACATTTTTCTTGACTTCTTAATAGATTACAGGACATGTCAGTGTGGATGAGTGAGGGCTTCATGCAACACTAAGGGAAAGAAATTAAGATTTACTAAAAAAGTTTGACAGTAAAACAAGTCTGTTCGATTTCTTCCTTTGTACAAAGTTGAAAGCTTGAGTGTGACACCTACTGGACATAAAAGTTCATAACTACTGCAAAAACTGCTCTTCAAGCCTTTTGATGCAAAAGCTCTCATTTGTTTAGACTTAGCTTCTTCACATAAAGTGTCTTTAAAACAACTGCAGTGGTGTGCATTTGTTTTTAGTCCCTAACCTTACACTTTAAAAAATAAACTTACAGCTGGAGGTCTTTGGACATATGCAGCTTTCTGTCACCAATAAACAGAAATCCTTCAAAAATTATAAGAAAAAATACGTAAAATGGCTTGAGCTCAGAATGGATGGAAATCAGACTTCTAGATTATGCCACAGATTATTAGTTTTAGGTCTAAACTTTGGCTGGGTAATTCAGACATATGCCTATACTTTTAAATAAACCATTCACACTGCAAAAAATGGAAATCTAAATGAGTCATTTTTGCTTAAATTAAGTGCATTTTTTCTTTAATTGAGGAGGTAATTGAGACACTTTGCCAATGGAACAAGACAATTTTCATTTAAAATAAGAAAAAAAAAATTGCTTTTTCTTATTTCAAGTGCATATTATCTAATTATCTTGTTTTAGGAGTAAAAATACTAATTCCATTGGCAAATCATCTTATTTATCTACTCAAATTAAGTGCAAGTACACTCAATTTAAACATTTTTTTACTTAATTCTAGATGGTTTTTGCAGTGCAGTTGTAAGTCTTGCTGTATTTTTACACTCTTTGTCCATCTGGTTACAACACAATGTTCAGAACACCATACTTAAATGCCAGGATGATGTTTGTTTCAGGGCAATGAGAAGTGTCAGATTACTGCTGCTCACAGTAGCTTTTTTCCATGTAGTCAAAAAGGTTCAATCCTGTCCTCAACTGACCGCAGCACTGTTTTCACCTGTCTTCCACTGGTTTATGTGTCCTCACTTGGATTGTGTAAAAATTGTATTAGTGTTTTCGAAATCGGTTTCCGTGTCATATCCTTCAAATCCAGATGATTCATGTGCACAAATGATTGTCGTCAAGCTAGATCTACGGTTCTCTGCAGCTTCTGCAGAGCAACCAATGGGCCTTCATTGGCGCTTCTGATTAATGTCCCCCATACTGTAAAATAATAGCCCTAAGAGGTTTGCAGATTGATCATACTCTTTAATGTTGATGTAATGTATTGATAAATGTTATGCAAGATATTTTAAGATTTAAGATATTGCTTTTAACCAAACACTGATTTAAATCTATCTAAAATGTTATCGCTGATCTGTCTGCAATGTTGGTCTTCATGACCATCTTCATTAAGATGGTCCTGCTCCCAACACCTTCATCCTGTCATTCTCTAGGAGTCAAGCGAAGAGGCAGCTGGAGAGATCTGATCAAAATGAGTCACTAGGTCCTGATGGTGTCAGCCTCAGAGTCCTGAAGGCCTATGCAGAGCAGCCTTTGGGATTCTACAGGACCGCTTCACCCTTAGTCTGACCCTGGAGAAAGTTCTATTGATGTGGAAGATCTCCTGCGTTGTTCCCATACCAAAGAAAACTCAGGCAATAGTTCTCAGTGACTACAGACCTGCTGCCCTGACGTCCCACATCATGAAGGTCTTAGAGATACTTCTGTTTCTTCACTTCAGCAAGCAAAGAAGCAGCTATCAAGACCCCCCCTGGAGTTTGCTTATCACCAGTGAGTTGGAGTTGATGATTCCATCATACATCTGCTTCACTGTCATTTTGACAAGGCAGGCAGCTCTGTGAGTATCATGTTTGTTAATCTCTCCAGTGCATTTACCACAATTCAGTTTCAACTTTGTGAGAAACTCCAGATGACTCAGGTGGAGGCATCAATAATCTCCTGGATTAAAGACTACCTGAGAAGCAGAGCAGAGTTTTTTAGACTGAAGTGTCAGCTGTCAGCGTCACAGAGGCACATGGGATGGTATTATCACCATGTCTTTTTACTCTCTACACATCACTGACTTCCATTAGAAGACTGTTACTTGTCATCTGCAGAAATACTCCAATGAATGTGAAGTCCCTGGATGCATCGGAGGTGGACTAGAAGATGAGGACTAGGATCTGGTGATCTACTTTGTGAAATGGAGTAAACAATCATCTGATCCCAAATATGAAAACAAGTTGGATGATTGTAGATTTAAGCAGACAAAAAAAAAAAAAAGAAGAAAAAAAGAACATGTCATATGCTATTACTATCATAAAGGAGCAAGTGAATGGTTATAAATGCCTCAGTGTTTACCTAGACAAAACCATGAAGCCATCTATAAGAAGGGACAGAACAGACTGAAGCTTAGCTCCTTCTACACCTCTGACTTCTAATACAAGACTGAGTCTTGTCATCTCCAGAAATATTCCGATGAATAAGAAGTCACTGGATGCATCAAAGATGGACTAGAAGATGAGGACTAGGACCTGGTGATCTGCTTTGTGAAATACCGTGAAGCCATCAACAAGAAGGGACAGAACAGACTGAAGCAAGATGCTACATATCCTCCATAAGTCTGTAGAGTAGAGTGATCTCTTCCTCCATCATGTGCTGGGATAACAGCCACAGAGCAAATGTCTTAAAGCTCAACAAGCTGATGAATAAGACTCTCTGTTTTAGGAGCTCCTCTAGAACCTTTGGAGATTATTTCACAAAGAAGAATTTGATGAAGAACATTATGGACAACAGTGAGCATCTTCTTTGTGAGATTGTTAAACAACAACAAAGTGTCTTCAGTCAGAGGCTTCTCCACATCTGATCCAAGACAGACCACTACAGGAGAACCTTTCTGCCTACAGCTATCAACACCTAACACATCTAATTTGAAAAAAACAAAAACAAACTATGGCTTACTACAACATTTAATTTCCTTTTTGGATTAATAAAGTATTGTAAGTGACTGTGTTGGTCTACCACATAAATCCCCGCAATACAAATCATGTGGTTGTGATGTACCACAATATGCAATATTGGTTACGTTTACACTGGATCACCTAAAGTGATCCAAATCCGATTTTTTTGGCCCATATGCAACCTGGATCTGATCTTTTCTGTAAAAACTGATCTTTTCATGGCAGTCTGAACAACACAGATCCGATTTTTTCCAATGCGACCCAGGCCACTTGGTTATGTGGTCCTGACCCCGTTTCTGTGTCTGAATGGCCAGGTTGGATTCATCCGACCTCAACTGCACTAATACCCAACAAAGGTCACTATTCTGGGTCTTGCTATAAAGAAGCTGCAAGAAAAACAACAACCATGTCGGACAATGATGCGGAGAGCAGTATTTATGTTTAACCATCCTGAAAAGATTGTGTTTTTATGGTTGCGAAAGATCGCTAGATACGCTCCGGCACTACCATCCATGTTTACTTCCGTAAACACAGAGCACGCTGGCCTGTGATGTCATTCCGTCCTCTACTGCGCATGTGGGACACTTGCGTTGTATGACTGCAGCTCACACAGGAGATCACATACAAGTCGCATATATTTGGAAATGTGAACAGCAATGCAAAAAAATCTGAATTGAGCATTAAGGACTGCAGTGTGAATATTATTTGCTTTCCAAACATGAGGGTCTTTTAGAACTCTCAACATGCAAATGGCAAATAAATGCTACTTTACTTAAATAGTTAAAATATATAAATATTTTTCAAGTTGGGAGACTTGACAAAAGCAGTTTACACTGCATTCAGTCGTTTACCCATTCACACATATACTGATGTGGGAAGCTACATTGTCACTGACAGAAGCAGGGCTGCTGTACACTGGTGGCACCAGACCTCTGAAAAGCATCAGTGGACAATATGGGTGAAGTGTCTTGTCCATTTGACGCCACTTCCACCAACGCCACTAACTTAAAAACTCTTTTTAAATTATTTATGACATAATTCAGCATCAAAGTGCCTTATTAAAACACCAACATGTTAGGTTAGTGTATAAGGTGAGTATTAAGGTAGTTTAGATGTGTCAGAGTACCTGCTGCGAGTTTGGTCCACTTTGGCCTGGATCAGAATGGTTCGATAGTGTCGCACAGCCAGGCAGGCCAAAAGGCCAATAGCCATCACTATGATGAGTAAGATGGCAAGGCATACACCTATAAGCCGAGCTCGAGTCATCCTAATGTCACACCTCTTACCCATGTACCAGAAGTCCTCACCTACAAGACAACTAAAGAAAATAACCTCTTTTAAGCAACCTGGATATTTTCTTTAACTGGAAGAAGACAGTTTTTGTGTGGATATTGGTACCGGCATACTGGAAGTTGGCCTGGATGGTGTGTGCAGATGCCATGGTGGTGGCAGTAGTCAAAGTGACAGGCTGAGGAGCAGCTGTAGTTAGTAGTGCTGGTTTGGGTGACACATTTGTACCCGGAGGGGCACTGGAGCAACCAGTCACAAACATCCCCCTGCAGCCCTGAAATAAATATGTAAGATAACAAAAAAAATGCTGGGGATTGATAAATGTCCACATCTGTATTCTTCATTAAAGACAGGAAACAAAACCATTGCTGTGATTCATCTAAAGTCCCCTCTCAGCCAATCCAGTTCATACTTAAAAGCTTATATAAATTAGAAATTTAAGTTTTTGTTGCTCTCAACTTATAGAATAGAATAAAATTCAACTTTATTGTTATCACACTGTCACAAGTATAAGGAAACGAAATGTAGTTTGCATCTATCAGAAGTGCTATACAGGATATAAATATTACAAATATCACCTGTATTACCACACCAAACTGTGATGCAGTTGGTGAGGATGCTCTCAATGGTGCAATTTATTTTTACTGATAAAAAAACAGTATGATCTATTGCAACAGTAGCTCACAAGTGATATTTTACTGGTGAGTAATATATTTTATCTGAAACGTTTAAGGTATTTAAACCATATAGACCAGAACACATCTTTCTCCATAAGGTTAGGGAGTTTTTAAGTTGGATCTGTGGGTGTTTGGACATACCTTTTACAACTCAAAAAGATAAATATATATATTTTTTTACATAAAATATAAAATAATATATATATATATATATATATATATATATATATATATATATATATATATATATATATATATATATATATATATATATATATATATATATATATATTGTGATAAAGGCCTTTTTACTATTCAAATCTAAATATCTAAAGTCTTTGTTTTCAAACCAGAAATCATAACATTATTTAGATGAGAGTTTTCTCAATGAGATATCAAACAGAAAGTGTAAAGGAGGCTCAGCTGGGTGTGGTGATCAGAAATTACAGACATACTTGTGCTATTCATCATTGTGACACAATGAAAAAGAAATGTAGCCCATGATAGTTTGGTCATCTTATAAAAATGTCTGACGGCATGTTAGCAGGAACGTTTCAATAGAGGAAAACAGTACAGTAGAGCTAATTAAGCAGGAGTGGCAGGAAATTATAAAATGAAATGACACATTTGGAGGGTAACAACTTCAATAATAAAGTAATCACAAATTCAGGAGGCTACAGTAGGACATTATCCAAGCTATTTTTGACTCACATGTGGAGGACAAAACTCACAGAGCTTCAATCTGTGGTCTGTGTTCAAGCCTGGGCTCACCTCCAACAGTGATGTTGGTGATCCTAGATGATCTGAACATCTTCCCATGGTGAAGAGCTTGAGCCAGTCCTGTTTGTTCCAGCAGTGAATTGGGTTCACTGATACTGAGCCACTGCAGAGCCTCACTAGTTTTAAAAACAACAAGGCTCTGCACTGCAAGGCCGCTGGGAAAAACAAAAAACAAGACTTTTCAACTTTCACCCGCATTTAAATACAGACACTCTATTCCATTGCTGTACAACATTTTCTGACTGTAATAACAGTAGCATTACCTCGTAGATTTCCTTTAAAATAAAAAATGCAACTATGAAAACATTTTTTATTTCTCTTTACTTCCATGGCCATTTTACAGTATATTTTAGTGGCAAGAAAATTCAAACTGCTGTAAATGAGGAAAAGAAATTCATAGAGGCAGCACTTAAAGTTAAAGAGATTAAAAGTGGCATTAAAATAAGTTGATTATATATTAAAAGAAGATAAAATTATTAAGGAAATTGAACTACAGTTAGACTTGGAATGTAACTAATAATGTTTAGATAGCACAGTAGAGGCCATTCTAAAAAAAATGAAACTTTAATCTAGAGTTTAAAGCAGCTGAGGGTTTATTCCTGATTTGACGAGCATGTGAACTCAACACCGTGTCTCCTTGTTTGGTTCTGGGTTAGGTACGCAGATAAGAGTCAGAAGACCTGAGAGGTCTGGGGAGGGGATACACTGACAGCAAGTCTGTGACCCTATTTTGTAGCTAAGCCACTCAGTGATTTATAGACTAACAAAATAATCTATTATCTGAGAAACGGGGAGGCAGTGTAACAATTTTAGAATCGCAGGGATATGCTATATGCTTTCTTATTTTTAGTAAGGAAGCAGGAAGCAACAGTTTAGATCAACTACAGCCATTTGATCAGCTTTTGGCTGACGTGTGAAGACGCTGTTTCATTAATCAGTTCTATTGATAATAGTCAGAGTTCTGCTTCATCCAGGACCATGTTGCAGAAGCAGCAGTCTCAGCAGATACAGACTTCCCTCTCTGCAGACACCTCCTCCAGCAGCCTGAGGTGCTCCCAGGCCAACTGAGAGACATAGTCCCTCCAGAGAGTCCTGGGTCATTCCAGTGCCTCTTTCCGGTGGGAGGTGCCTAGAACACCTGGTGAGGGAGGCATCCAGCCAGCATTTGAATAAGATGTCCAAGCCCCCTCAACTGGCTCCTCTCAATGTGGAGGAGAAGCGGCTCTACTCTGAGTTTCTCCCGAATGACCGATCTCCCTACCCCATCTCTGCCCTGCTACTCTGCAGAGAAAGCTAATTTCAGCTGCTTGTATCCGGGATCTCGCTCTTTCAGTCATGATCAAGAGTGAGGGTAGAAACGTAGACCGAAATCTTTACATTGAGAGCTTTGCCTTTTAGCTTAGCTTTCTGTTCAACGCGACGGACAGGTGCAGCTTCCATAATTACAGCAGCAGTCGCACCGTTCCGTCCTTCCCTCACTTGACGTCTTCCACTTGAGGCAGGAACTCTCCTCTAACCTGAAGACGACAAGTTACCTTTTCCGGTCATCGTCTACTAATGTTCAATGTCAAGTCCTGTTGAGACACTTTTTTTTTTTTAATCCTGGAGATGTTCTTTATGTGTTAGAAGGGCAACTTTGTCACTGCCTTTATGTGCCTCTAATGGTTCAGGTCTCAGTCCATCACTATCCCCATATTTCGAGTCTGATTTGGGGTTTCTAACTGTATTAACTTTGGTCCAGTAATTACTACTAAGCTTAATCAGGAAAACTAAGCAAAAAAAGATATAGGAAAGCAATAGCATGGTAAAATTAAAAACTCACCTGCTCCAGACGCCCAGCAGCTTACTGAAGCCAGGTGCTCTATGCATGTGGATCTCTAACTAAAGAAAAAAAAAGCAGGGGGTGGGTAGAAGAAAGAAAAAAGTAAAACAATAGATATTTTTCTTATGGATATGTATAATTGTGCCATTTACAACATTGTACGTGTACATTTCCTCACCCATGCCATGACATCTTCCTTCAGACCAGCAGCTGAAGCAGGATGAATATCTTCTAGAACTATCTGCAGTAGCAGCTCAACTGACTCAACTACAGAAGAAGCAAAAGGATAAACAACAGCACCACAACCGGGACATGCAGTAGAATGTGTTGTGAGTACCTCTTTGCCAGTTCATACCTCTATTATGGATCTAGGAACAGTTATACAGTCTCTCATACTTAACCACTGGAATGACCCGCAATCAGTTTTGGTTGATTAGCATTTGATTTAATGTGTTGTAGAAATAAATATATAAAAATCTCTGGTATAATCAGCAGTACTTAGAAATGTAGGCCTACTCTTCTTATTATGATGATATTAGTCATATCCAGATTGTACCAATTTACTTAAAATTTAGATTCATGATTGAATCAAAATAGCTTTTAACGGAATGCTATTTCTGACATTTTGAATTGGAAAAAGCTTCCTGGATGGGAAGCTAAAGGTCTTCAAACTTGGAAGTAAAATCCAGTGGATCGTTTTTAATGTTTCTGGAATGTAATATGTCGAACACGAATGTTTTCAAGATGACATGGAGAATAGCACATTGTGACAAACACCAGATAAAGCATGGGGACTTGCTCAACAGCTGACATCACAAACAGGTAGGTGGCAGTAGTGTTCTTTGAGAAACATATCTAAATTTAAATCACTCTTAATTAAAAACACTTATCATTTATTGAACGGTATGTAATAATTTTATATTTGAAGTACTTTCAGAAGTATGAATTCTGATTATGACTGAACTTTTCCTTTAACTAAATTGTTATTGTTATTTTATTCAACTATTTGATTAAAGGTTAAGCTATTTGATTTAAATATGTTTTTTAAGTGAAGCCTAGAATAGGATTAGATCTGCAGGGCTCTGGCTCTTCATTGGGGCTGCATTGATTGATTGACTTTATTGATCTCACAGTGGAGAAAATGACTCTTAATTAAAACACTTATCATTTATTGAACAGTATGTAATAATTTCATATTTAACGTACTTTCAGAAGTTTGAATTCTGAATATAACCAGACTTTTCCTTTAAACATTTTTGAATGGCAAAGAGGTGGACTGACCCGCACCCACCTCTGATGGTAGCAGGCTGGTTTGGCACAATGTAGTAAACAGGACTCTGTGTTGAACTGCCGCTGGCCGTAGGGTTCAAAGCTGATGATGTTCCACTAAAGTTGTTATGCTGGCTGGGATGAAAAGCTGGAGCTTGTCCATCTGGAGGACTATGACTTATTGTGCTACTTTGAGACCACTGCCAGAATGTGGTCCCTTTAACATCCCCACTCTCTGATTTCACCGGAAACAGAGGTATTTTTGGAGTGGTGATTAAATGTTTATTTGGAGAGACTGTGGGAGAGGACTTTAGGAGCAGTAGAGAGTTTTGTGAGGATTTTGGTGTAGTTTTAGGGTCCATACTGCTCATATCTGTAAAGGATTCATTTATAGAAGACGTTAAGGTTATATGGGTATCATCAGGAAGTCTGGTTTGTGTGGGGAGTACATATGGTGGAGTTGATGAGACACTTGGTGAATCATTGGGAGATTCTGTCACTGGAATAAATGGCATCTCCCTGTTGGCTGATGGAGACGTTGAGGTCTGGGCTTTGATTGCATCTGGTCTGACTGTAGAAAGAGACCCCTCCTTGCTAAACAAACGTTGGATTATGTTGGTGGTCAGGTAAAAAGCGGTCCCACTTCTTCGCATGCCCTCTGTTGCTGTTTGTGTCTCTATTCCACTTGTTTGTGTCAGAGTAGAGGAGGAATGCAGGGAATGTAAGCTGGCCTCTGTGTTTTGGGTAGAGTTTTTTTGACTCTGTGTGGAAGGGGCTGCTGTGTAAAAAGCATCTGTATTTTTAAGTCTATTAGAAGGCTTCAGAGCTGGTCTCTTAGTGTAAACCTCAGGCAAAGAGGAATCCCTCTGAGCTGTGTGTTGCTGAGGTGAAGCATTCTCCGCAGTACCCAAAGAAGTGGAGATCTCTGCAACGTAGGTGGTGGGTGAAGGAGCACTGCCTGAGTCTGGTGGGGAAGAGTGTGATGGCAGTGTGGGGTGTGTGCTATTTGGAGGTTTGAGGGAGGGTTTTAAATGTTCAGAGATGGGGATGGTTGGAGTTGAGTAAAATCTGTGTGAGCGAGCTTGTTTATCTTCAAAACTTTGATCAACAGCACCACCATGTGGATCTACCGAAGTATTGCTCCATGTCAATACCCCAGAAAAAGAAGAGTTAGACATGCTAAAAATGGACACACTTTGGTTTGTCTGAGCTGTAGATTCATCCCTCTCTGTTATTGGTCCCTCTGTCTTTGTAGATGTAGAACTTTGTAAATCTGTGGTAATGGAAAGACTGACTTTTTCAGCCGTCCAGGATGTCTCAGTTTGCCCTTGGGTTACGCCAGTGCGATTTTCTGTTTGGGATTTGGTGTCTGCACTGACTGTGGGCTGAAAATATGGGCGTGTTATGGCAGTCATGGGATCATCAGTGAGGTGAGCAGCTCCAGATGTATCCGCTCCATTGTTCTGTTCTTCCTCAGGAAGAGGGAGAGTTTCCCTATCAGTTCTCCCACTGACTGGGTGTCCCCACTGGGATGAGGTGGGCTGCACCAACTTCTCGTCCTGAGGGGATGTTGACTCAGAATGAGGGCCAAAACTCTGCGAGACACGGATTCTGCCCTCCTCCGTACCCCTGACCATCTCTTGAGCAAAGGTAGCCCCTTTCTCGTTCCAACCAGTAGGGTTCCCATCTTGTTTGTAGGCCGACCCACCCGCCGTGGAATTTTTCTCATTTTCCTGAACTAGACCACCAGGAAGAAAACCAAAAAACAGCGAGGGGTACAGGGGGTGAGGAGAGAGAGTTGAAATCACATCATTGCTCCAACAAAACATAGTGAGGCTGATAAGAAGTTTCCAACGAACACATTACTGAAAACATTTTAGCTGCATGTTTTGCTACACACCCAGATTAAGCGTGAATAAAACCTGCCCTGTCTCTTTACAGCAAACAAGAAACACATTTCATGGAAGCAAAGCCAGCAAGTAAGCACACCTCAACCCTCATTAGTACCAGACAAACCCATTGGGATTTAAATAAGTAAAGGCAAGTGGGTGCATTTCAACTGTAACTCAGGAATGTGTTTACTCACCATAATAAACCAGCTGAATTGAATTTGAGAAAATTCCTGGTCCTGTCCAACTGAGGAAGGCTTTGTTTTTGTCACAGTCAGAGAGCAGCATAGTTTCTTGATGGATCTGAAAGATCTGATCTTGCCCACCACATCTTACAGAGATACTTGAATGCCTATCCATCCACTCTAACTTTAAGAGTACCTTCCTACCCAGAGGAATAACTAGCATCAAAGTGCAATTTGAGAGAGGTAAATTTTCCCCAGGCTGCTTGTTAATGGAGCTGAGCCCATTTGTGTTATTAAAGAAGTCAGGTAAAGAGAGGTTGATGTGGCCAACAGGTTCATGGTCCAAGGTGACATTTCCACCACAATGCTGGTTCAACGAGGCCAGGGTTTTATCTGTTTAGAAATAAAAAATAAATAAATAAATAAATAAATAAAACTTTAAAATGTATGAAACTTTTTTTCATAACTTTGGTTGTTGATGCATTGATTAATTGTGCATTGTTTTGACTTTATAGATCTACTATAAAGGGAAGTTGAGGTTACCTAAGATGCTCTGCAGCCCCAACTAATTAGACTTTACAATAATGAATAAATACCCCATAAGGTTTATGAGGCTGATTGTCATTCAGCTACTTTTATTGCCTGTGTGGCTACATTGTAAACCAGAAAAGCAGATAGAGATAAAGATTGATATATATATATATATATATATATATATATATATATATATATATATATATATATATATATATATATATATATATATATGGCACAAGGTTTATTGTAGCAGAAAGCTGATTTTTAGATCACATTCAAACATAACATCCAAGATGTGCTTTGGTTGATAAGTACAAAGATCGAAGATTTAACAACCACAGAAAAAGGATGTTAGTGCCTGACTTATTTGCATACAGTGCAAGTGCTGATGAAGTTCTTTCTCCACTCAGACCCTAGGAGATTCATTTTGATTAGCATTGAATAATTTACTTTCAAGCTCTGAAAGCTTGTTATGATACATTTACAGTAAACACATTCACCAACGTGTCCTGTGGAACTTCTATATACCTATATAAAATTTACATTTACATATACATATATAAATATTTATATAAAATTTACTTATACGTCAGTCTGACCTTGTGTAAATACCTTTAATTGTAATATTAACATTTTTTGGTATTAGAGTATTTTTAAACCATTTTCATTGTATTTCATGAACACTCATTATACTTACTTAGGAATAGGATAAGGAAAACTAACAAGTTTAACCTTTTCAGATTTAAAACACTTAGATAGCATCTCCCCATATAGTATCTACAGTTAATAATTATATTATAAAAGCCAACTTAGCCCTGCAGGGCTGAGCCAACCCATCCTTTCAGTTTGTATTAAAGCCTCTGGCTGAAAATTCAAAAAATGTTTAATAGAGAAAAGATCTCTAATTTTCCATTAAATTGTTTTTATTTCCAACCCATAGACTTAATATAAATATATATATATATATATATATATATATATATATATATATATATATATATATATATATATATATATATATATATATATATATATATATATATATATATATATACATACATAATGTTAGGCCACCCGCAAAAAAACACAATAATTTCTACAAACTGCTATGGATACTCTTGGAGATTTTTAGACAGAAAAGAGAATAGCGCTATATATATATCACACTATATGTCATTAAAGGAGGCTGTAGATGTTTTCCTTACCTGTTGTGAAGAGAAAAAGCAACAGATAGACGTGCAGCTGCATTTCCAACGGTGAGACATTTCAGTCGGACGAGCGTTTAATATCTGGTCCATGCAGATTGTGACAGAGCCAGACCGTTTGACTTCAACCTTCAGATGAGGACAAACAGACTGCGTAAAGCCTCAGTCATGTCCATCCAATCTTCTAGCGGACAGAGGGGCGTCACAAACGTCCCTCCTTCATCATCTTCATCATCACCATCATCATCATCATTTCCGTGCAGGAACGCAGCCCCCTGTCGTCTAAATGACATACACGTGTGTCTGTCAAACGCTGAGTCTCATGATCAGGGACTTGTGCCTTAATTAGAGGTTCCCAGATCCCCCAGGCACCGTCTGCATCGTTAAGGTGAAGGAGAATTCCAGAAATGAGGGGAAGGGATCCTCTAGTCGCTGCGGGGGGGCAGCTGTTTTACACAACAGTTAACTTCTTGCAGAAAGCTTCACTTTACCACAGGAAGTATTAAGATGAAGCTCAAAAACAAGCAGTTCATTAACGTCTTGGCTTTGAGGCATTTCTGACCAGAGGCGTAGCCAGAAAATGTGAATAGGGGTGGCCAGTCAAAAACCAATTCAAAGTGAGGGGTGGCCTGAAAGCTGATCAGTAGCTACCAGAACCTCAGGGTCCATCTACACTGTTCCAATGGGCGGTTCTAGACAGTGCCCAACGGGGGCCAGGGCACCAGTAAACGTCCTGGCCCCTGTTATGGCCCCATGTACTGAAAACATAATACTCAAAGAAATTCTAAAGCCGGGCGTACACTGTGCGATTTTTTTCAGTCTTTGCACGCAGCTACCGCTCACACTGTACGAGCTCATGCGATCTATCTGCTCACACTGTGCGACTAAAAAACCAAGTTGGACTCAGCTCAGCAGTGAGATGGAGCTGCTCTGACTCGTCTATCCGGAAGCCAAACCAGTAGAGGGGGAATATGAAGCTCTCTATCGTAGAACAGGCTGCCTTGGCATTTTTTGCAATTTTGTACTGAAAGCCCTAAAAAGAAAAGGCGACGAAGTATTTGGAAAAAAGACATGGCTGAGCTAACGTGGCTATTACGGTCTGTCAATTTTAAAGAAAGCGCTCCATTTCACTCATTCCATCCCTACCATGCTGCTGGATTTACATCCGAAGGGAATAAAAAGAAATATCCTTGTTTGCGCATGCACCCTGAGCAATTTGCCCACGACAAACATGTTTGATTTTCTCCCGACCTCAAGATTCCTGATCGCGAGGCGGTCGTGAGAGGCTGATCGCCCCTCGTAACCCCCGGTACACTATACTAGTCAGGATGAGGCTGAAAGTCGGCCCGATCGAAAGATTCTTTCAGGACTGGAAAATCGCACAGAGTACGCCCGAGTTAATGATGATAAGCGCTGGAACAGGCATGGTTACTGATAGATCCTTTGGATCTATTTCCTTTTTTTTCTTTAAAAATTCAGTTTTATTAACTATTTAAAAACAATAATGTGATAGCTTCAGTGGTATTGAGATAGGATCCCAGTTTTCATCTGCTAAATGCTTTTTTTTCAAAACAAATTTAAAAAATACTAAAATTTTTACAGCTGAATTTATTAGTTTTTCTTAAATTTTAATTCACATTTTATAGAAAACTGTAATTTCAACTTAAATTAAGTCAAAAATATGTAAAATTCCTAAATTCCTGAATGTATATTGACCTAATAAGACATTTAGAATTTTATTGAAACCTAATTGAATAGAAATTTCACTTCATGCAGCTATCTTTATTTATTTGAATCCCTTGCCCTGTTTGTTATTTCATGCTTTTCTGTTCCCTCATGAAAACACGCTGGCCCCCTTCTGGCCCACCTGGTACATTTGGTCTAGAACCGCCATTGCCAGCAGCAATGAGCACAACATCCATATTTTCTAAATAAAGACAAATATACTTTCCTACAGCCTTTTGATTATGAATAGATGCATATATTTAAACATCTGAGATTTCTAAATAAAAGGTATAGTAGACAAAATATCTGGAGTAAACATCTTTTCCATTGTCATTAATATATGAAAAATGTAAATGTTTAATTATCATGATGGGTGAAATAGTTAAGCCCAAGATGCAGAACACACACAGGGAAACTGGGTAAAAAGTCCAAAGAGTTTATTAAAACACAAACATGAATAATGAAACGGGAACTGGTTCGAGCAGGCGAGCAGGTTCACTGGAGACTGTACTGAAATGGGAGACGGTTGGTAAACAGAGTTCATGAGAGGCTAAGCATCTAGCTTCAGGCTTAGCCTGGCAGTCCTGGGTTTGAGCTTCCAGCTCACTGCAGAGAACAACAGGGGAAAACACGAAGGATTTTTCAGATTGGGCTTCCAGCTCACAGCAGGGAACAACAGGGGAAAATCCACATGGGAACCTCTAGGGAAAACTCCACACAGAAGTCATCAGGTTTCATCCACGTAGAAATCGTCGGATTGGCTCACCAGGGCAGATAGCAGGTTAGACTTTCCTAGAGCTTCAGGCTTGAGACTGTTTTCATGTGAGGCAGCTCTCCCAGAGCTTCACGAGGAGACAGGAGGTTAAACTCATCCAGAGCTTCACGAGGAGACAGGAGGTTAAACTCATCCAGAGCTTCACGAGGAGACAGGAGGTTAAACTCATCCAGAGCTTCACGAGGAGACAGGAGGTTAAACTCATCCAGAGCTTCACGAGGAGACAGGAGGTTAAACTCATCCAGAGCTTCATGAGGAGACAGGAGGTTAAGCTCATCCAGAGCTTCACGAGGAGACTGGAGGTTAAGCTCATCCAGAGCTTCACGAGGAGACAGGAGGTTAAACTCATCCAGAGCTTCACGAGGAGACAGGAGGTTAAACTCATCCAGAGCTTCACGAGGAGACAGGAGGTTAAACTCATCCAGAGCTTCACGAGGAGACAGGAGGTTAAGCTCATCCAGAGCTTCACGAGGAGACAGGAGGTTAAGCTCATCCAGAGCTTCACGAGGAGACAGGAGGTTAAGCTCATCCAGAGCTTCACGAAGAGACAGGATTCCTGTGATGCACAGATAAAGGAGAGATTAGAATCTGGTCTGACACTTGAGACAACCAAGACTCAATCAATAACAGAAGGCTCAGGAAGCTAACCAACTAAGATCAACACTGCGGCGTGGAATCAAGGTCTGAAGTCAGCTTATATAGGAGAGGTCTTCTGATGAGAGGATTAACAACAGGTGTGCAGGAAGGTTCCAGCTCCAGAAGACCCACGGCGCACTCTGCTGGAGACAGAGGGTAGTCTCCAGATCCCCACAGTAACTCAACCCTAAGGGAAAAACACAGAGCAGAAGAGGATCCTCGGCGCCCTCTGGAGGGCAAGCCTGAGGATCCTAACATTAATAGGTTTAAACATTTGTCTTGATATTATTACTGCTGCAACTGTCTGTATAAGAGGGTGAAAAAAATGGTAGGGGTGGCAATAGGGGTGGCCAATGATTGGCTAAGGTGGCAATAGCCACCCCTGGCCCCCCATCTAGCTCCGCACCTGTTTGTAACAAGGGCCTTCTAAAACCCGAGGACCTAACCCTTGCATTTTAATAGTATTTATTTGTTATCCTGTTCCTGAAATGTATAACATGAAAGAAATAGCGTTTATTGCTCCATTTTTGGAAAATGTCAGGTTTGTCGGGGGAAAGGGAAGAGAAAATGAAAGCATAAGGGGACACACAAAATTATAAGATACAAAAAGAAAAACTAAAAGGTTAAAAATCGACTGTACAGCATGCAACAGCCCTAAAACTACTGTATTTAAAAAAAAAAGAATTAAATTTTACATTATATATTAATATTCCGGCTAGTGAAGAAAATTCTTTCATTGTTATAATAACCATGGAGACAGACCATCACGACCAACCAAATGCCTCATCGCTGTGTTTTATAGACAATCCTGGGTGTAAACTTTGCAAGGGCTTAAAAGTTTATTTATTTTTTGATAATTGGATTTTCATAAGAAAGAAAAACAAGTCTGTTTTTAATGGTCAGAAAGAGATAAGTATTGCATTTTGTATCTAAAATACAAATAAATAAAAATAGATAAAATACAATTATTATTTTTTTCTTACCATAAAACCTCAAATATACAGATAAACCCTACCCCTCTTTTTCATAGCCTACACCCTGTACATCTCAATTTAGGTTAGCAAAAGAAAATACATTTAACCACATGATGTCACTGTATACTCATATTGTATGGGTTTTATCTATGCTGGGCTTAAAATAAACTAAGGGATGCTGACTTCTATCACAACTTACAAACATTTTAGAAATGTATTTATTTTCTAATTATTTGTAGCAATACTAAAGAACAAAGGACAATACTAAAGAACAGATAGTTCCCCCTACTGTCAATGTACTATGATCACAGAATTTCAAGATTCTCTATGTAGATGAATTTTCTCAAACCAAATAAAATTTGTGCTCCTCCAGAAAAATAATTTGTATCTAAAATGAACAGTTTGAATTTGAAAGAAAACAAAACAACATTTTTCTTCCGATGAAAAGATCCAATTTGCACAAAAATGCATAGTCGCTTGACTGAGTTATTTCCCTTCTCCTCTCGACCCATCAGAAAACCTCCTGTCTGGCCACTGTCAGTCAGAAATCTTTAAATATATTGGCCAATCAGCATTTAGCAGCCAGTTTCACGACCCGTCCCTGCTCCACAGACCCCCTGGCCCTGAAGGACCCAGCCTACCTGGACCGGGTCCAAAGGCTGTGAAAATGTGGAGGCAAGCATGAAGAGGTGGGCTGTAGATTGAAGCAGGTTTAGCCTTAGGGCTATATATACATATATCATAAAGAATCATCAAGTGGGACACAATCACGAAGTGGACATTCATTGGATACTTTAAACTTTTATAATGAATCAAAAACTGAAGAGCGGGTGTTCAAAATTAATCGGTTACTCTACTTTCAGTGCAGCAAACTCTCTGCAAAAGTTCAGTGAGTATCACTGAATGATCCAATGTTGACCTAAATGAGGGATGATGATTAAAATAATCCATCTGTGTATATCACAAAGGGTTGATTGCTTTTTTTATTGTTACTATTTGTAATGCACTTTACAAGGTTTTCACTTAGAAGGGTTTATAATCCTATTTTGGTTTTAAACAAACCCAAAAAACAATCCAAAGTTATACATATATCTTAAAAATTATTTGAACGTA